ACACACACACACACAAATCATTCAGAATTTTGTATGATAATCTGGGCCAAATCGATCCCTGGTATTATGACAAAGACTCTGATTCTGTGAGTGTGAATGTGCTCCTGTAGTCACCTTGATTTACTGGAGCCCATATTTTGAGAATGTGCCATAAATACTGCGTAGAAACATGAAAAGCAAAGATCAGAAAATTAGTATCACTTCAAGCCAGTTATTACACCTGAAACCCTTTTTATACATACATACAGTCCAGAAAAGTACTACCGTTTTCAACACATTACATAAGTATTTCATATATGATGTACAAGCACATTTAACACATTTGGGTTTTTTAGTAGTCTTAATGCAGCCATTTTGGTACCCTGTGCCGACAATCTACCACTTACAGACACATACACACACATGCTCAGATTCACACTGATACAGCCACGCAGACTCTTGCTCGCTTACTGCATCAAGCTGACACTGCACATTTTACCGGAAGGGAGGATGCACTGCATAATCTCAGTCATGTTTCTCAGTACTAGATGACTAACCCGCAGCTCTCTCGTCCTCCTCCTCCTCCTCCTCCTACTCCTCACACTCCTCTCCTCTCCTCTCATTCACCACTATATCTCTAGTAGCCTCTGTAACACTCTTTGTTCCCTTCTTCTGTCCTAAGCATCTCCATTTAACTCTTATCGCCCTCTGTTCACTGTCTGTCTTCTTGCTCTCCTTTACATCCACCCCCACACCACCATGCGACTACACACATTTCTTGGGCTAGAGAAAATATGTGCTTATGAGGCTGGCAAACATTATAGCAAAGCCTGGTTTTAGAGCTGACAATATCACTTCACAGTCACGGCCTGTATGTCTAATAATAGGACCTACTTGACTGGATCTGACAAAACCCATCACGTGATGCATAGAGGCCCTAACCCTTACATTGTGACTGTGCCTACAAGTGGCTGCAAAATGGTGGATATATTTATCTTAAGTGGGACAACCCCTGTGTTTTACAATCTTTGATGCATTCAGTCCAATAACATTTGGAAAGTCTAGAAAAAAACGTGTGATTAATTTGGAGACTGCAGTTTGATTCCTGTTTCTTACGACAGTCAACGTTACGCTTTTTGTAACCATGATCGTTCCTGAACTTTCATCAATTGGTTATTTTTGCAACCATGACAACCAGGTTCCAAACATATAGTTGTCATTGTCACATCATAATATAAATGATTTTTCGACTGTGATTTGTAACAGTTTTAGAAGGCATCAGATCAGGAAACTCATATTATATGTGTGGTTTTGGAGGGCAGTTGTATACAACATACAGTATTTTGTTTTCTAATTTGGAGGACTTGTTGGATTATGTGGAGCCTTGAGAGCAGTGAGAGAGTCTTCTCCGCGATCCTGATCAGAAATGTAAAACCTGTGTGGATTTACAGCCACAACAGGTCTGCTTTGCTTTCAGCCTTCCTCACCACTGAATGCATTTGGCCTGCTTGCAGAGTTGATCTACTACCTTATTAGAGGAAATGGAGCATTATGTCTTTTGCGGTCGTCTTTCTTCCCACCATTCAAGATTTACCATTCCCTGAACGATGGCAGTTTACACCCAGTGCTGCCTCATATGTCATTCTGTCAAGGTGTGTGTGTGTGTGTGTGTGTGTTGAGGGCAGGGTCACTGCACACGCTCGCTAAAAAGCCAACCACACCCTCCCCGCTGCCTGCCACCCCCAAGGCTCCCTTCTATTCTTCCCATTTAAGGAAAAGCTGATGTTCACACAATTCGGGCCTAAATGAATGCTGTTCTCGCCGAGAGCTGCTGCTGAATGCTGCTGGTGGTGGAGCTGCGGCAGCGACGCACATCTTCACCATTTTGTCAGCAGATGGATGGAGCAGGGCTGGGGGCGGGAGATGAAGGGAAAGGGGTATGGAATAGAGGAGTGTGAGTGACAGGTGTGTGGTGTCTTCATTTGTCAAGTTAGCCAGGTGTGTCAGCTGGAGCCGGAGGGTGAGGAGGGATGAAAGGAATTAAGAAAGGAAATGAAAATAGCAGAATGGAGGAAATGGAAAAGGAAAAGTAAAAAAGGGAAAGAGAAGAAAAGAAAGGAAAGGAAAGGTAAAAGGGAGCGGAGAGGAAGGGAAAGGGAAGTGAAAGAAAGGAAAGGAAATAAAGGGCAGGGAAAGGAAAGGAAATGAGAAAAAGAGGAAAGGAGAGAAAAGGAAAGGGAATTAAAAGAAGGGAAATAAATACAAGAAAAGCAAAGGAATAAAAGGGAGAGAAAAGGAAATAAGGTGAGCAAAGGTAAGAGGAAAAAAGGAAATCAAGGTTCATATCAGGTAGCAAATGCAGCGCTATCTCAAGACTAAATGGCATTTGTGCCGTTTTTATTTGTTTTCACCGCTGTCATTGTCCTTCAGTACTGACACACACTCTCTGTTTGTCTCTTTCTCAGTTTTACAGGCACACACACACACACACACACACACACACACGCACACACACACGCACACACATTGCTTTGTCCCCCTTTCTCTCACTGGCTCTTCTCAGTGATTTGGTTACCATGGAGAAGCACATTTTTTAGGCAGAAGGAGGTTGACATTATTACATGAGAGAGATGGCACTGCTTATTCTCCACACACAGACACAAACACACACATCTCGCCCACAGGCAGTCGCCCACGCCACGCTCTTCTAGGCAAGAAGGTTTCAGAAATGTCCTACATATACATACTGTACACATATCTGCACACACACACATTCGCACTTTGCGCTCAACAGCATGCAGCGAGGGATAGAGATGAACTCAAATTGACACTGTGGGCCGCCTGTGGACGGGGTGAGCTGACTGGACAGTTTAGCTGAGGGTCTGACATCATGCTCCGGCTGGTCCGGCAGCAAGCGCTACTGCAAATACATGTGTCACACACACTACGGGGTGGGGCTTTTGCATCGTATGTACATAAACACACACACACACACACACACACTGAGTTCACACACAATTAATTCCCCCTACCATATCTTTCAGGCTATCCAGGAACACAGAGCACAATCACTCTAGTGAGTGATTATATGTATTATATATTTTGTGTGTGTGTGTGCCCATGCGTTCTATAACTTCTTTATTGTTTAATAGCCTCCCCCCATCTGCAGTGTAGGCTCTTAAAGCAAATGAACACATGAAGGCGTGCCATTAGAAAATGAGATCTGTTTTTAATGTGTCTCTTTTGGTTTGAGAACATACAATCGTCCCATGATGTGCGTTCTTCCATATGATGCTCGCATTCAAGGATTAAGCTTGTGGATTAGAGAATTCCGTTGACTAGCAAAGCAACCTATAAATACTCACAGGGCTCATGTGCTGATTGACCCTCAGTATTATAGGGGTGGCTATTGTGTAATAAATGTCTATACTAGTGCCAATTACGACCAAATTATATCTTACTTTTAGAAATACAAACTTATTTTTCTGAAAAGACCCTTTTTTATTTTGCATAAGAAATCAAGTTCCAGTGAAATGTATCGTAATAATGTAGCCCTTTGTATTTACAAATTATTATAAAATGATTCTAAACATCCCTAAATGTCATTTTGATGCATCATACTGAAGTTTACATGTTTTTCTGTGATCGTGAAATGGTATGGAGCTGATTTGGAACCAGCGTGATTATTCAGATACGTTGTTAACTGTATGTCATTGATATATAACGGAAAACTGGACTCTTTTACTCTTAAACAATTAAAATGCCTTTATTGTCATGGCTCGTCAAGTTAGACCTAAAAACTAATTCCAAAACGTTTCTGCATCATGCCTTCAGGGATTCAAACAGATCTTATAAAACATAAGGCCCTTTTGTACTTCCACCAATTGCAATCTTACACCTGGACTGCTTGAGTGCCATTGGAAAGGTGTCCATAGCCCTCACTAATGAAAACTGCCAAATATTAAAACTTTGAATAAATGTCAAAAAGAGTTGGACATTTGTGTTTAAATGTGTGGCTATAGGTTAGAAGTTCTGATTTGTGAGCTGGGATTGTCAGCTGATGATGAGTTGAATAATGGCGAGGAGCTGAAAGGATTACCGGCCACTGCTAATCTGTGGCCCCTCAGCTGAGGTAAAGAGGTGGAGAAAGACAGGGAGAGAAAGAAACTGTAGTGTGCGGCTGGGCGGCTGCCTGACAGCTGTGGGCCGTGCGGGCAGCTGATTTACTTTAGATTAGTCTGGACATGCGCCAACTAGGATTCAATCAGGCCATGATGAATGTGCTTTGGCGCGCTGAAGGCTAGCTGCTAACTGCTAAACTGACTGCTAACAGTCCGTCCCACTGGCTATCGAGGAGTAACATTTTGGGGTTTCCAGAGGTCCCAGTGGGGTTTTGTTTTCAACGTCTGCCAAGGTTTTTGCCGTGGAATATAAGAGACGACCATGTTTGCTCTTTGCTTTGGATTTATTCTCTGAAAAATAAACCGTTGGGATTATAGATACGGAGGGAGATAAATCCTGTTTTTGTGCTGTCGAAGTGAGGTGATATTCAGTAGCCATGGCTACATGTGAGTATTTGATGTTGTCTGTGGGTTTGAGGATGAAGAATCAAATTGTATCATGACTACTGTACATGCTTGTGGTCATCAGTCTTACTTTGTGATGTTGCATTTCATAGAATTTTGTAAATTCACAGATATGGACTGCATGTGCGAAGATGGTGCACTGACTAGAACAGCTTTACTCTTTCTCCTTTAGGATGAAAACAGTACATATGTATACAGTACAATACCTCTTTCCTTCCTCTTCTTCCACTATCTTTGGCGCCCTCTAAATGTGATATTTTTATTATCCTGTATAACCAACATGTGCATGATGAATTAATCTATAAAAATAAACATTTATTAAAGATTACAATGCAATAAGACTAAATCCACCTCAGGGCAGGTGAAACATGACCTCTTCGTTTTTCTAAACTTTTTTAGATTTTGCCATAGCCTTGAGCATGCTGTGTTTGTGGATAATGAATATGTTGAACAGCACAGTCTGCCATATCTGAATGCTCTAATATTTGATTAGATGTAGCAAAGGAAGGAGGGAAAAATCATCTGGGGGAATAAATCAAAATTTTCTTCCTTTAAAAAAAAAAAGATGAGCTACTGCCATTTATGAGAGCTAAAAAGTGCTACAGAAGGTGTTTGTGAAATTTGTTAGACAGAACAAGACTTTTGAATGCCTAGGAGAAACTGTATCTGCTACCATGAAATTGACAATGCTGCATTTGTTTGGTGATAGGCTATATGTTCAATACAATTAATTTGTGTTGTGTAAATGTGTCACAGGCATGTCTAACCACTTTTCTGTTTCATGTATTTAATGTTCTTCTTTAATGCTACTGTACCCAGCTTGCAAACACTGTTGTCCTTTCAACCCCTGTAGGTAATGTGGGTATGCAACCTGTGCCGTAAACAACAGGAGATTCTCACCAAATCAGGAGAATGGTTTTCGGGGTCAGGGGTGCGGCCTGGGAGCCTGGGCACCTCCTTGAACAACCCAGCCACGGGAGGTGAGGCCCAACGGGACAGGAAGCTACTCCGCTCCAGGTCCCAAGCTCCGCCCTCCAGCACCAATACCAACACAGGGCTGCCCGACGGGACACAGCCACCTGCCGGTGTCACTGCTGCCAAGGGTGCGGACACCATGCCCGGCTCCCGCTCCCAAAGTGAACCACCTAGAGAAAAGTAAGGCATCAAAATACACGCGCTGAACACATGGGTAGCTGCCACTAGAGGATGCTTTACATGTACAGCCTGTACCTTTTTTCTTTAACATTTAAAAACTGAGGAAGCTGGGACTGCTTGCTGGCCAAAGCTCCTGTTGTTTTTAATCCCTGGGGTCAAAAAAAGCATAGATCTGTGTCTGTACAGCTTAACCAGTGCAGAAGCTAGGTCACAGGTTTTAGTCTTGAGAGATCTTTGATTCAAACCCTTTGTTTTCATTTAGTGGGTGAGTTAGGTAAGAATTCATCACATGTCTCATGTTGGTTTTAATCTGTTGGTATAAAAGTCATCAAGGTTTTGCAAACAGAAAGGAATGTTCTTAGCACAGGATACAAAAAAACCCCACTCTTTATGTGTGTGGCTGTAGACTGTAGGGTACATTGGTATAATAAATCCTCTTCTTGTACAGGAAAAGGCCAGTTTCCCTACATGAACAAAATGGAAAGGGAGGCATGGGGCGTGGTAGTGGCCGGAGACCTGCTGGGAAGTTGCCGTCTCAGTCATCCCTCGACGAGCGAGTGGTGCCTGGGGACAGAGGCGAGAGACGGTTAGGAGATGGACGGAGGCTAGAGAAGATCCATTCTCAAGACTACGAGGATGGGCAGGAGAACATGGGTCGTTCAGAAACACACCGGAGACGCCCAGAGGATGAGGAGCAGAGGGAGCGCCAGCGCCGTGAGGAGGAGTTCCAGAACCGTTACCGTAGTGATCCCAACCTGGCACGATACCCGGTGAAACCACAGAAGGAGGAGCAGGAGATGCGCATGCATGCTAAGGTGTCCAAGGTCCGCCACGAACGACGACACAGTGATCTGGCGATCAACGAGGTCGGACTGGGGCCTGGTGAAGGAGGAGGTGGAGGCAGCGCAGGGCAGGTGCCTGAAAACCGTCTGGCCAGGAGGGGCGGAGGTGGGGAGGGAGACCGCAAGGCCGTTTTGGAAAACCACCGAGCCTACTCTGTGGATAGGACCGTGGGGGTTGGAGGGGGAGCTCCACCTGCTGGAGGTGGAGTGAGATCAGGACCCCAACCTGAGGGACCGGTGCCTCCAGACTGGGGCCCAAACAAACAAGGCCGCCTAGAGCCCGGTACAACACGGACACCAAGGGACAAAGGTGGGGATAACCTGCTGAGGAAGGACTCTCAGAGCTCGGACCAGTCGGAGTCTCTGCGGCCGCCCCCTCCACGGTCATACAAGAGCAAGCGCGGAGTCAACAAGAGGCAGATGTCCATCAGCAGCTCAGAGGAGGAGGGCGGCTCCACGCCCGAGTACACCAGCTGTGAGGACGTGGACATGGAAAGCGTCAGCGAGAAAGGTCAGTCAGACAGATGTGCTCACTCCACTAGCTTAGTAAGCTAAATATATCGGAACTTGCATACCTTGCACTATGTACTGTCATCCATTTCCTTACATTGTTCCTTATAGTTATTTCTTGGAGCCAGCTTTAGAGTCTCACCTGTCTTTTTGTACCTCACTAATGAGCTGCTGCAGCTCTCACCTAGCTCCCATGCCCATCCTTAATCTGCACAGGTGATCCTCCTTCTGTCTACCTGAATCAAAGGACCTTCCTTTGATTTCTGCATTTGTTGTATTCTCTTTATTATGTCAAGAGCCCTTTGAGACTTTACCTGTATCACCTACTGTATACCCAGTGTAGTGTGGGCGGGATTAGAATCACAGCAGTACAAGGTTTGATGGCTAATTGTAGCCTGACCTGCAGCTAATGCTCTGAGTGATAGAAAGATCCTGATTGAATGATTGGACAAATGATCTGACACGTTTTCTTTAAACTGAGGAAAGAATTGTTATTCAGATGAGACCCCAAAACAGCTGAGTAACGTAAGAATGCTATGATAAAGCTCCTTTCCATTGCAACATCTTTCCCCTTCCCACACTCAATGGCCATGTTTTCCTAGCCTAAGCCGGTAGTAGAATTGCGATAATGTGAAAAAAATTCAAAGAGATATTGGCCTGTAAGATTATTCTAATACCATCACATTCTAATTTCGGACTGTAAAACTATACGATAAGTGATAGGATGAAGCACCCACCTAGCACACAGTGCATTACCATTCCTGTGTGTCATCTACACCTCTGTGCTGTGGCTAAACCCTGCTGTTCTCAGGACAGCTCTCATTTATTTGGAGAGTCCCTGTGATCTAGGCCAGCAGATTTGTGGAATTAGGCCAGTGGCTCGCATGCAACGTAATGCTTCACAAACAGCCAGCTGCACCAGCCAACCATGGACCACCGGCTAAAATCAAGCCTGGCTGTGGTTGCATGCTGCATGGTTGCCGCTTGGCTTCTTGGTACCTATGTATTTTGCAGCTGTATTTTTGCAGCTGGACTGTGCTATAAGCCATGGGAGAGCATTTGAGTTCAAGAGGCACTAGGTAGAGTCAGCTGTGCTCTATCAGCTTATCTCTCTCACCGGTCACAGAAAGGGCCTATTCCAGATGTTTTAATCCAGATTACTATAACGCAGGGACTGGTAATGGGTAGATGGTGTGGCTTGACATTATTAGCTGTTTTAAACACTCTTTAGCTAGCTGGGCCTCAAAACAGGATGTCTCCTTTTACTATCATCTGTGGCATGGAGCATGCATGTTTCCCTACATGGATGCATTAGACTGTGAAGGGAAGTGAGACGGTAACACAGGGTCAAGTGTACCTTACTGTTTTTAGAAGAAATTGCATTTTATGTAATATTATTGCATTGTGGTTGCTATCAGCTGTTTGCATTATTAAGCGTAGACATGACTGTCGGCAAGAGAGACTTCGGTGTCAAGAGATGGTCGGCTGTTACTGCGGGTTTATGAGATGTGATAAACAACCTCATGTTATGTGTTCGCAGTTAATGTGTCTCATAATTCAAGTGTAAGGGCCTTACAATTAAAAGATAAGCATCTTTGTTAGACTGTGACCTCCTTCAAATGAATGCACGAAACAAACATAATATTTCCATCACATTTTCCACATTTTACTGGCGATGTTTTAATTACATCACCTCATTTGGCTCTCTTCCTCTGCAGTGGTTTGATGGCACCGAACTGGAGACTTAGCGCCAAAAAACTCCTTTAATATTTACAGAAAAGTAGTGGAAGGAAATGTACAGTGTTTTTATTTGCCATTGCAAATGTGTTTCGTATATGCTCAATGGACAGAACCTTGGCTATTGACATATGACCACCTTTTAAGTTGATATGACAAACTTGTCAGAAAACACATTACACATCCAGCAGTTACGGAGCAACATTAGCATTCATTTAGTGCCATGTTTCTGTCCACCTGGCAAATCCAGCACCAAATCCAGCAGATTTGGCGCTGAGCAGGTAATGTACTGTAGGGTTTTCAAAGCTTTTGCTAAAAAACAGCTGCCTGACAAGCTGAAACCCACTATTAAGCTCTGTAAAGCCAACAGGAGCTGCAGATCCAGGTGATCTCTAGGTTCACTATAAGCAGCCACATTCACATTCATACAGAATGATTGTAGAAATATAGATTATAATTGCTTTCAGTAATATTTTAGATATTAATATTGTTTGTATTGTTAGCTTAAATGTGTTTTTAATGGTCCAGTGCGTAACATTCAGGAGGATCTATCGGCAGAAACGGAATATAATATTCAAATTAGTGAACAATCAAATGAATGTAGGAATCCTTGTGTTTTTGTTACCTTAGAATGAGCCGTTTGCATCTACAGATGATACAGGTCGCCTTTCGTGAATTTCACCGTGTTAGACTTGTTTCTACTTGATACGCAACGCAAGGTTTCTACAGTAGCCCAGAATGGACAAACCAAACAGAGATAAGGCCTTTCATGTTTATCGTGAGTTTCGTGGCCACCATAGTTTCCTACACACTTCATAGCCCGTTCTCATTCCCGGGTCGTCAAATACAGACGCCAGCAGTGTTTAATTCATTAATAATTTGTTTTTATTTGGATTGTGTTAAGGCCTGTGGGAAAGACCTTGGTTGAAAAACTTGACCATCTAAAACTGACCTTGGATCCACAAGCAAAACATTATAAAGACAGACAAAAGGGATAATGAAACCTTTACACAATGCCGTATACAGTAAGACTTGGTGTAAGGTGGAATATCTTTTTCTAAAACTTTTTATAAAGTCAGTAAATGATCCATATTGGATCTTTTGATTACTTGTAGGTGTTTCTCCTCCAAGTGCCTGTCTAACAGGTAAACATAGGCTTCATTAGTTTTAAGCTATAAATCAGATAGATGAGACAGTAGAATGGACTGTTTGCACATTTAACTGGATTATAATCACTGATTTAGCGGTTAACATAAAAAAGCTTAGTGGCTCCACTCCCACTAGTGATCATCATAAGGTACTTACATTAGGAGTAAACAGCCCTGCACTGTATTTACAGTTTGATTTTCTTGAACTCGTAGTAACGTATTGGTATAACATTACCTAACATAATGAAGACTCAAACAATCCGTCAACTATATTTGACAAGTAAAAAAGTTATAAAATAAATTGATTTAATGCAGAACTCAAGCAGTGAGGCTATGCATGCACACAGCTCAGATTAAAAAGCTATGACTTGTCTTTTTCAGCGCTCATCACAAAACAGCCATGATGCATGCAGTTATGTAAGTTTCATGCAGAAACAGTTGATTATATGTTCCAAGAATCCTCTTAGCAGGATTATTGTAAACAGTGTGTACATTGTGGCTTCCCTTTCTGCCCATTAAACTGTATCCCACCAGATATATGAGAGTATCTCCCAGATTGAGCCTTTAATGACACAGCCGCTTTGGCTCTGTGTTTGAAGTAAAATGGAAGCACGGTGTGATTGGGTGTAATTGGGTTACTTCCTCGGTGTAAAGAAGAACACCAAGGTGATAATGGTGCTGAGGAAATGGAAGGGGAAGTCTGTTTGCTGTAGGGATGACACTGCGTCCCACTGTGCTGCGCTTTAGCCACTATTGCGTGTGTGTGTGTGGTGTATGAGATGTTCCTGCATTTACAATGATTACTTCAAGTCCCCAGATAATGAGCATGACTATGAACTATACCATACTGTATGTGTCAGTGCAGAGAGCATTAGCAATGATGAGGAAAGAGATTTCCTTTCACAGTTGAGAAAATTGAGTGAAGATATTATTTCTTAATTGTCGATTAATTCTTATATGGCCCATTGACTTATTGGCGAATTAGTTTTCTTTTCCACAATGCAGAACATCAGTGCAAATGTGAAGTCAAAACAAAAGACACTGTTTTAACTCTGATGCCAAATTCTGATATTTAGAAAGATGATTTAGATTTCTTTTCTCTTTTGTACTTAGTGCTGAAAGTAGCCTTTGATTCAGCACCATCATACATGGTCCTAACATAGAGATTAAGATAACTACAGCTGACATGACAACAGTGCTACTCTCAGGTCTCACTCATGTTCTAGCTATTGCTCATGGGACACATGCTACTAATCTCTGTCTTAGTGTCTTTACGACATGTAGCTCAAAGTTTAGTTAAGCATTTACTTGATCGTTTAGGCTAATGGATTCGACATTTTAGTCACTAAGGGATTTCTTTTTTTCGGGAAGATGACTACAATACAATCTAACAAAATGGTACGCAGTATTCTTATACCAGAAAATGGTATAAGGTGGGTGCAAATTACAAAAAACACAATTTACTCTGATCAATAAAGTTGTTACAAGCCATGTAAAATCTCAAATGCAGACGCAGGGTTTCTACTTTACTGTACTGATCAAAACACTAGCATCATTTATACACTGACTGTAAGTTTGTTGTTTTCTCCAATAGTGTGATTCTTTCTCTCTCACATACACAAAATACTATATGGCACAATAGTGTACAAGTACTTTATTAGTAGAGTTGCATGCTCTTAAAATGATGACAGAGACGCTGTTGTATTTGCTCTTATTTCCACCATGAACACAAACAAAAAATAAGTTTCACTATAAATGTACTTTCTTTTTGGTAACTTGACGGCACATAGTTACAGTTAAGCACAAAAAATTACAAAAAAATTATGCAACATACAAAACACATTACTTGATTGTGGATACATTTGATATACTTTGTGATCTAATGCATGTCATAACAGCCAAGGCTACTAGGTTCCTTTATTCATCTGTTTTACCAGTACATGAATAGGACCTGGTATGGTGGTGCTGTGGGCCTACTGGTTTGTATACAAGCTGGGATTTGCCAGGTGTTGTTGTGGTTGTCAAGTGTTTGCTATCAGTGATGATCATCCTTGAACCCAAGGAAAAAGTTTGAAAAAAAGAAGCTTCTACTTTCTGTTCATGGTTACCACATACTCCTCACCCAGCTCTCTCAGAGGTAACATCCAGTGTGATGGGCTGGAAAATGTACTGCGACAAGAGAATATGTCCATGGCACAGCAGAGAGGCTACGATATCCCTGGGTAATAAATACTGAAACTAGAAAGGCTCTCGGCCCCTGCCTGACCAGTCAGCTGGCCTAAGTCAGCGTCCTACAGACCATTTGACAATGGTACAGATCATTGTTTCACTGTCACATGCAGTTGTATAGGCCGAGGCTGGCCTCAGGTAATTTAAGTTCCTGTCATTCATGTTGTTAATTTGGGAAGAGGAGCAAAGAGTTTTCAACTGTGCTCAGATTATGCTGCTGTATTT